TGCTCTCAATAAAAAGTGAATGAACCCGGTCGATAATATGTGACCCCCTTATCGAGGTCTTTGCAGACTCAAAAGTTCGTCAAAGCATTTGATTAAATCTCATTAAATAATATTTTAACTTATTGATACAGGTGTAATATAAAACTGTTTCTTTTTGAATCATTTTAATAAATATAGTTTTGTAGCAGTTAGTTAAAAAAAATTAACTTTACATATCTGATCTTGCATGACGAATGACTTAAACTAACATATTCTGTCTTCTGTCTCAATATTTAAAGGTATAGTGTGGGGCCAAAAATCAACTTTAGGAGGAAGGCGCTAGCTTTCTGAGATGGCACTTATTTTATTACTAATCAAGTAAGGAAAAGTTTATAATCATGGAAAATCTAAACTATTTTTTTATATCACTGTAATATCGTGCTTGTAGCAACTTATAAAATAAATTTATCATCAAATAAATTATAAATAAAGTTATTTACATTGCATTAAACACAAAAAACTATATAACACATTGCACTATAGATTGTCCACTGCAATCAATACAATCTAAACAAAAAATTAAGTCATCAAAAAAAAACAGACGCAAAAATGCTTTAAATTGATGAGGTGTGTGCATTTTTTTGATTTTCAAGATCTATAAAAATAAAGAAAACAATTTATAACAAATCCTAATATAACCATGGGACATTTATGAAATAAATGTCCCATAAACTCTCCCCTATAAATATGGCGTTGTACTTTTCGAGAGAGAATGTTAGGTCTTCTTGGGGCACCTAAATAACGAAATAAAAAAATATATATTGAATTGGTGCATCCTTAAAACAACATCTAAATATGCCTACAAGAAAAGTTTAAAATAATTCCACATGCATGTCAATAATGTTATTAAACAAAAAATTGGAATTGATTTCTAAATGCAGGCATAAAAATAAGTTAAAAAAACATAATTTATAAAATCATAAAAAACATCACTTATAAAAATAAGTTAGTTCAAAAAATAATTAAATTAAATTCTCCCTAAAAAAAAGTAGAAGTAAACAATTCTAAAAAATTCTTTTTATAATATTGTCAGCATATTCCACAAATGAGAGAAAGTTTACAGCAGCTAAGACCTTAATGACTTCCTGTAATTTAATTTTTGGTATAAATAAAATTTTTATTAATTTGAACATTCATTTCTGATGTGTCTTAATGAAATACAGTGTAAACTCAATAAAGTTTGATAAGCGTTTTTTTACCATTATGTGTATATATATATATATATATATATATATATATATATATATATATATATATATATATATATATATATATATATATATATACAGCGCCGGCCTTAGCTTTTTTGACAGGTTGGGCAAAACTTGTGAACGCGCCCCTAGGTATATATGGGTGGGTTGATACCATTAACAACGAGACCAATGCTCTAAAATGATGAACAAGAGTGCTAAAGGGAATATATAGTTTAATGCAAAGAGATCCATATTGTGCATCAAGTTTCTTATTTAATTAATTTCTTATTAAAATTATAAATTTAGACTTTTCATGATATGGGTTTATAGAAATGAGTGACTAAATAAATAGACAACGCAACGCTGCTTTTAAAATAACAAATGTTTTTATTAAACATATAATAAATCCTCTAACTATATAAACAAGAGTTATTAAATTTTAAAATCTAACTTTTCTAGCTTTTTGTCCGCAAAATCTCTTATCAAACTAGAAAAATCTAAATTTTCAGCTATATCTTGCTCGATTGATAACATAAATAGAGAATTAAGTCAATCTTGCAACATGGTATTTCTTAAATATGTACGCTGCTTATTTGGTATCGGATGGCTTTGAGGCTCTCAATTTTGGCTTCCCAACGAGTGTCACATAATCGTTTAAGAGTGAAGTTTGTTGTATGACTAAGTAAAACATTCCAGCGTGAAGTTGATGCAGAAAATAATGTGAATAATCTTTGTATTATGCCAAAAACGTTAATGGAATTTAGTGAAGACTGAGCTGCGTCACATATAACCGAATTGAGAGAATGACTTCCACATGGAAGGTAAAAAGCCAAAGGATTCAAATCTAATGTTCGCTTTTGTAGACCTATTTTTTTACCTTTCATATTTGCACCGTTATCGTAAACTTGCCCTCGACAAAAGCTTATATTCAGTCCAAAATCTCTGGTTGATGTATCACTAAGCAAAATTTGAAAACTTGACAAAAACTGAATTTGAATCACAAATACAACTTTAAATTTCTTCTACAAATTAATAAACAACGCGCTCGCAACTCGTACCGAAAATAATGTTTAAAATTTAAACTTTAAATGAATGGAACGCAAAATAATTGGCGCCGAGAAAGATACAAGTAAAAAAATGAATTTAAGTAACAAAATATAAGCTACGATTGAAACACTTTTACTCAAATTATTAATTTTGCATAAAGAATTTTTAACAGTGTAATGATACAATAAAGAAATTATTTAAAGAAATTATTTTTATAAAAAAAAAAAACATTCGAAAAAATAACAAAAAATCGAAAATCGAAATCGAAAAAATTTAGGTTGACTTATTTTTTCTATTTATTATATTAATAAAGTTTGCATACAACGTTTGGCGCCCCTGTTTCCTGGCGCCCTTGGGCGGCGCCCAACCTCGCCCCCCCCTAAAGCCGGCACTGTATATATATATATATATATATATATATATATATATATATATATATATATATATATATATTTAACATAATAAGAATTTCAAATAAAAGTAGTATACTCAACAACCATTATTTTGTGGCATTTTGAGCGGTTTATTGGAGTTTTGCTCATTGGTTACTTAGTAAATCATTAGTCAGCCACTATAAACTTATCGGCAGCCAATATAAATGGCAAGCCGATAAGTTTTTGTTAATACTGGCTAGTCATCGGCTAGCCACTTTTGGCGGCTGCCAATAATGGTCCACTAAGAATCCGATGTCTAAAACTCCAATAAAACGATGATGTTTTTGATTATAAAAGCTGAATTCCTATGCAACATTTTTTCATGTTTGAATTAGAATTGAGCTTGTAATGGATTAGCAATGCAGCGTTGAAAAGATAGTGAAGACATTTACCAATTAGTCAAAATAAGTTCCAAGACCTTTTTTTTGTATGCCAGGATTTAGATTCTAAAGCGTTAAAATAATATTATGTCCCGATTAAAATTTTAAATAGCATTATGGCTTAAAGTCTTCAAACATTACCTATTTGTTTAGAAACTGTTTAGTAAATTATTTCTTTTATACTTTCTCAATGCTGATAAGTATTGATAATTTATAATTTTTGGTTAATATCCTTCAAATTCATTTCCAACTAAAGTGGTTCCATTTTATTAATTATATGGTTAACTGTTAACTTTTTTTTATTTAAGCTCCAGCAAAACGTTTTTATGGAGTTTTTAGTGAAGTAAAACTTTGCATAGATTTCTTAGCGGCTTTTAAAGGTTTTGTTTGACCAATTGAATTTTTAACCTTTTTACTAAAAACAAGATGAAGTAAGCTGCGATTATCTCTTGAATCTGGGAATAATGTAAAAACAAAAAAAAAATTTTACTGTATACCGAATTCTAATTTCTTAAGTACAAAAAATTAAATTAGAATAGGAATTTTTTATTGATTTAGATTTTCTATTTACTAAGAACAAAAGTTAAATTTTATATTGGGATATGGTAATACTTTAACGCCAAAGTTTTCTATCCTGATGAATAAGTATCTATGTATCTAAATTCTACCATTCCGAAAAAATAGATCTTGTAATTTATCTCGAGCAATTGGTAGAAAGTCTTTATTATCTCTTTAACATTACTGATCCGTTAAAAGGTCTATTCTAATGAATCGAAACATAAGTTTGGATTTATTGGAAATAAGTTACTTAGGAATTTGGCTCTTACAATAAAAAACATCTTGTTTCTCTTTGAAAAAATTTTAATAATTTTAAATTTGAGTTAGTTATTTGAATAAGCTATCATCTATTTTCTTGAAATTTATAGCCCCAAATTCCTAAGCTTTTACTGTTTTTAATTACGGGACTTAGTGCTTATACGGAAAACCCAGAGTGTTAAAACTATATAGACTTCTTTTATTTAACTGTTTTCATAGAAACCGCTGCCAAAGTCCCGTGGAAAACCAAAAAAAAAAGTCTTTCTATACTGATCCCAGGTGATGACGTATACGAGGCCTTTGATGTACTCGTATGCAATGTTGTCATTTCTTCTCCTGATTATTAATGTATAAAGTTTTCTATTAAAATTATTAATTAAGTTAATATAAGAATAAAATAAATTTATTGAGTTAAATCATGAAAAACTATAAAATTACTTTTAACAAGCTTTATCAAATTATAATTTTTAAAATAGAGTTTTTAAATCAATTCATATCGATAATTCTCAAATATTCTCAACATCAAAAACTTAATGTGGTTAGATAATTAGAACAGTTTTAAGTCAAATTTTTAAATACAATTTAACGTTTTGTAGGATAATCAAAAAAACTGTTTTATAATTTTATTTTACAGGCTCATTAAATATTAACTTTTGTTTTACTGTATTCATTTATATGCAACTTAATGAACTAAACAACAATATTATTTTAAAATACAACTATCTGATTCAAAAAGCAAATTTAAATCATTTGTGTGCTGAAAATATTAAAAGAATAACTTATTAAATGAGATATTTTAAACATTTGTTACCAACACTTTAAGAAGTAATACAAATTTTATGAATGCTAATTGGGATTTCAATGTGTAACGCGACATTTTTGTGAAAAATTTAGCAATCACAATTACAATCGAAAACAAAATATAATAATCTTTGTTTAAAACCTTATTTCAGTTTTAATGTATTTTTTTATGAAGACGTGATATGTGTACTTGATATTTCAAATATTATAGAGTTTCTGACATTTTGTTAACTTTTTGAAGTACAATTTAAATTGAATTTTTGAATTTTTTTAACTAATTAATCAATCAGCCCTTACAAAAAAATTTAAGTATATCAATGGATAACTCTCTTCAAATTGATATAAAAAACAGCAAAATTGATGAGGAACCTGTTACATTTGGAAATAAAAATCTTTACCCAACAAATCATTTATGCTTTTTAACTCCAACAAACCCATTTCGAAGGTGGTGCGTTGCAGTTCTCAAATCAAAGCCATTTGAATTTCTAATCATTTTTACAATACTACTTAATTGCGTTGTAATGGCGCTTAACACGCCGCAACCAAATTCCGATAGAAATGCAATTGATGAAACACTAGTGAGTTATTTTTAAACCTTTTTAAAATTACTCTACAAAACGTAATGTTTTTTTACAGAGTTTAATGAAAGAGTATTCTGGTGTCGCTTTAATGGCCGTATAACCAAATAATAACCATAAACGACACAAGATTACCTTTTTAACAACTTGGCTACAGTTATGGTAAAACTATCATGTTTTTATTAAAGTAAACATATAATTGTTAATGTTTTTAGGACCATATCGATGTTTATATTTTGGGAATATTCTGTTTGGAAGAGTTTTTAAAGATAGTTTCTCAAGGTTTATTTATGCATAAACATTCTTATCTCCGTAATCCATGGAATATCCTAGATCTAATATTTATTGCCACAGGGTAAGTTTTCTCACCTTTTCTTTATAAACATATACACATACACTTATGTGTTGTTTTTTTTTTTTTTGAGTTGCTGTTTGGTTATTACTGTTGTAATGTTGTTAATGATGTTATTGCTGTTGTTGTCAATGTAAAGCATTTACAGTTATAGTCTATGGAGGGCAATTTTATATTAATGAAACTTTGTTATCAGTATTTAAATTTGAACTTGTTTCACCATTTATAGAATATTATTTTTTATGACTCACTTTCTATTTCATGCTTTCCTCAACTATCGCATATCTAATTAGATACTCGATAGTTAAGGAAAAGAAAAGTTTAGAAAGTTCTTTAAGTTTTCTAACAACGAAATCTTTTTTCATTACGATAATAAAAGCAAGAGCAAAGCTTCTCAATCTACTACGCTTATTTCTACAATATACCCAGACAGCAAGCTTACATTGGACCAACGTTGGGCCAATGCATGATGATGCATTGGCCCAACGTTGAAAGTCGATGTTGGCCCAATGCAGGTTTGATCATTGGTTAGGTATTGGCCCAATGTTGTGTACAACATTGGCCCAATGTTGTATACAACGTTTACCCAACATTGGTCCAACGTTGTATATAACGTTAGGCCAATGTTGTATACAACATTGGCCCAACGTTGTATACAACATTGACCCAACGTTGTATACAAAATTGGCCTAACGTTGTATACAACATTGGCCCAATATCGTATGTTATATATCAGCCTAACGTTTTATGCAACATTAGATCGCTGTTACAAATAAGATGATTTGCATAGCTACATTGAAAATTTATAGAGAAAAAAAAGAATGTATGATACAAGTATAAAAATTTATTTATTTAACATAATTTATCGGTTAAATATACATATTGCAAACACCAAACTTAAACCAAAAACTGACACATTGAGTTTTAAATTAAAAAATTCACTATAAAATTTATAGAGTAGTTTCGATATTGGCTGAGCTACTTGTTATTGAATCGTGTTTAGCTTATGTTATTTGGTGCCCATGATTATTATTTTTTCTTCCACTATCTCTATCACATGTCTGCATAAGCCATGCTTATTTGACTTCACAGTTTCTGCAAAAAAAAAAAATTTGTTTATTTAATTATGCACCAAAGAAACATAACAAATTGAAAGTAATTCTGTAATGCAAAATTGAAACTGAAAAAATAAACTTTTTTAAACCACTTACCAATAGCAGCATATGCAATCAACATTTTTTCTATTCCAATTTTTTGTCCTCTCCCTGCATAGTTTAATTTTACAACTAGGCCATTTTAAATAACTATTCTTAGCAAATAAAATATACAATCTCCTTTGTCTTTAACTCCAATTTGTGCCAAATAATTGACCTGCAAAAATACACAACCGTGCAATAATTAAAGTAACTTTTGTTTAAACTTAAATTAATATAAAATGTCATTTACAAAAAATCTTCAAAGAGTATTTTATTTAAAGTATATGCATAAAAAAATCATAAAAAAATACCATTTACTTACGTTTTTTTTTTCTTCCAGAGTACTTGAATTCTTCACTGCTTTTAATAGCAATGACACTCTCTCAGGCAATACAATAATTAGTATACCTTTGTTACTCAAATTTTTATAACTGAATTTAATGTGTTTTGTAGTTTACCAAATTGTACTTCAATGATGACTAAGAAAAACATAAGTTTCAGAAAAAATAAATGGGTAGCACCAAAAAAAAAACATAATAGCTTAATTAGAGCGTTGTATTTTGAAAATGTGAAGTCAAAAAATAAAATTTTACAAGGGAGTGAAAAATATTTCTCCTGTAGAAAATTTTATTTTTATTTTATCTCTAAATTGTTTCTTTTCTCTTAAAAATCTTTATTTTATCTACATAAATTTTTATTTTATCTAAAAAAATCTTTATTTTATCTAAAAAAAATCTTTATTTTATCTTAAAATTTTTATCTTTTCCTAAAAAAAAAAATTCTTTTCAAATAACCTCACTTTTAAAAAAAGTGTGACTCATCACGTTTTCAAAATACAGCGTTCATTTGTGAAAAGAGTAACTTCTTAACTAGAATTACTGATTTTTCCATGACTATCTAAAGAAAATAATTTCCTGACTTTTCCAGGTTTTCCACGACTTTAGCCAAGATTAACAAATTTTTCAGATTTTCAAGGTACAGTACGGACCTTGTCCAATGTTTGTAAATAATTTTTTTTACATATTTTAGTTCTGAATTTTAATAATACCATTTATAAAAATAATATTATCTACAAAAATATTGTATTACCTTCGCCTATTAGAAAAATTTAAATAAACGTTTATATAATGAATAATAATGGATCATTAGCAACTGTTAAAACTTTAAACTGATATGAATACTGTTGTTTTTTTCAACATTTGATTTCAAATGGTTTTCAAAATTGGTGACACCAACTTGAAATCCAACAAAAAAAATTTGTTAAGTTCATAAACTTAAATGTTCTCAAAACAACTAAAAAACCTGGCCAGTTTTTCGGAACTAAATATAATTTCTGTGGTCAGTATTCAAGAGCAATTGCTCAGGCTTCCTGACCAAGCCTGTAGTGTAAGCTTTGATATGTTGATTATTGCACAATAAAATGTTAATTAAAACTCTGACTTTTTGACCATAATATATGAAAAAGTCTTTAAAATTGTAAAAGTTAAAGCTATGAATAAAGATTTTCAATCATCAGACAAAAAGACTTTTATATAAAAACTTACCATTTAATAAATTTTGTTCATTTAACTTCTCAGAGCAAACATTGAACTTCTGTAAAGAGTTTCAAGTTACAGATAAATCCCAAAGTTTAATGATATTTTTTGTTTTATTATAAGAAATTAAGGATAAATCATCTACACCAAGATATACACAATTTTTTGTCTCTTTGTCATTTTCGTTGTCTTTTTTTTTTGTCTCCAGAGCAGAAGTTTAGCCTTCTGCTAAATTTAATCTTGTATTGCTTTGAAAATCTATAAATCAAATCATTAATAATTAAGTTATAACTAAAGTTAATGTATAAGATTAAAGTTGTTAACTGTTGTACACACAATAAATATGTAAAATATCCAGAAATATTAAATTAAAAAATAATAAAACCAAGAATAAAGTCCCTCTGCCTCAGAAAGATGGAATATATAAAGGTTGTTTCAATTTAAATCATGACTTAAATCAGACAAATAAAAATAATGATTTAAATTGAGTTTTTTTATTTTAATTGTTTTTAATGGTAATCCTACAGTTACGCGGCCTAAAATAATTTTATTTTTCCGCTGTTAGTGGAGGCTTTACAAACAATAGGAATATAATTGAAATAATAAAGTGAAAAAAGATTGCTACCCCATGCCAAACCCTCATTTGATGTAGCAGCACTCCCTTATACAGTAGGCTATAAGATAGTTGATGTAGCAAAACCCCCTGGCACAACAAGCACAAAAATATAATTATTTTAGGCTGCATAACTGTAGCTTTACCATTTAATCTCATAATTCAATTAATTATTATAGGCTAGCCCTTGGTCTTAAAATAAAATGTCTGGCAATATTAGAAAGCTCTACATAAGTAGAATATAAATTCTAGTAACATCACTTTTTGTACAGTTTTAATATATTAGTAGATAGGGTTTCACAATCAAGCACAGAAAAAATCAAACAAAAGAGACATACTTAAAATGTAAAATATCAGCTTCTAGTAACTTCAATGCCACATATGTTTTATTGATACTTTTAATAATATATCTTATAATAGCTATATAATCTAAACTGTTATAAATAAATTATGAAAAAAAAAAAAAAAACTTTTACTGTGTGACATTTCAAATTTTTGATTTATTTGATAAAGAAGATATTTAAAAGGTCTTATTTATTAAATAAATCGAACATTTGAAATATTTAATTTTTCTTAATAAAGATTATTAAATAAATCAAACATTTGAAATGCCAATACAGCAATAAAAATAAAAAAATAACTTTATTACCCTACACAAAAATAGTTTGATTACTGCCTTTATTGTTACATTAATAATTTAGATTGTAATAGTAAAAAATGTTTTAAGCATATTGTTTAAATGTTAACAAATATTTCATTATTTAAAAAAACAAAACATTAAGTCACGAGAATCTCTTGAAGTTTATTTTTTATAAGGAACCTTTTAAGATTCTTAGAAGATTAATAAATATACCTTATTATTTTTATAATTTAAAAAATGGAAAGATAATATCAAAACTTTATTTTATTCTGTCAAACGATACCTTTTTAAAAATGTTTTGCAACAAATTTTAAAGTATATACTAATTCGCAACTACATTGGCCGAATATTGGCTACGGTATAAATGTAAGAACAGCAAAATATTAAGCCCAAACTATATTGGCCAAATGTTGGCCCAACGTAGTACGATAATTGCAAAAAACCGATTTGTAGAATTGCAATATTACGCCGAAAAAAAAAACATTGGTTCAATGTTGGCCCAATATATTACGATATTTGCAAAAAACTGATTTGCAGAATTGAAAATAATACGCCGAAAAAAAACATTGGCTAAATGTTGGCCCAACGGAATAAACTTGCCAATGTTAAAACTTACGTTGGACTAATGTAAGCTTGCTGTCTATATATAGTATATTGAATTTAACCGATTGTATATAAAATGATTACATAGATTTAGAATAATATTATCGCTCTCAACATTTCTAAAGCTTTTGACGAAGTTTGGCGTGCTGATCTTCTCCATAAGCTTTCTTCTTACGGTGTATCTGGTAACATCTTTAAGATAACTGAATCCTTCCTTTCCAATCGTAGTAAAAAAATTGTCCTCAATGGACAACACTCTTCATCATATTCTGTAACTTCAGGGGTTTCTCTAGGTTCAATCCTTGGCCCTATACTCTTATAAATTTACATAAACGATCTTCCATATATTCTCACATCTAAGGTGGCATTGTTTGTTGATGATACTACAATTTACTCTTTTCATGATAAGAAGCCAACAGTCCCTGATTACTTGGAGGGGACATTTGAGCTTAAAAAGGTTCTCAGTTCTGCACATGCACATGCATGCTTCATTACAGCATGGGGCTCTCAATGGCTGGTGAACTTTAACTCAGACGAAACTCAATTTTTATCAGCTAATCGTTATTACAACAATCTAGATCTTTCTATATTTATGAACGGTAATGTACTCAATGAGTCATCTTCCCTTCATTTTCTATGATTAACTTTTATTTCAGAGTATTCTTAGAAACCATATATCGAATTTATTGCAAAATTAGCATCTGCTAAGGTTTTATCTCTTCATCGTGCTCGCCACTTTCTTACTCAGGGTTCTATTCTTTACCCAGCTAACAAGCTTACATTGGCTCAACGTTAGTCAAATGCATGGTGATTCATTGGCCCAACGTTGAAATTCGATGTTGGCCCAATTCAGATTTGATCATTAGTTAGGAATTGGCCCAACGTTGTGTACAACATTGGCCCAATATTGTATACAATGTTTACCCAACGTTGTGTACAACATTGGCCCAACGTTCTATACAACATTGGCCCAATGCCATTTGTAACATTGGGCCAATATTATATAAAAGGTGAGGCAAATGCTATTATAAAATAGCTTTATACTGAATTTCAACATAAAATGCTGTTTTTTGGCTTAACGTTTTAAGCAACATTAGATTGTTGTTACATACAGTTGATATATATACATGATGGCCCAATATGATGATTTGCATCGCTATGTTAAAATTTATAGAGAAATAAAAAAAAAGTATGATACAAGTATAAAAATTTATTTATTTAATTTACATAATTTCTCCATATATACAGGGATTGGGAACAGGGACAGAGAATATATACAGGGTTGTTTTGATATTAACCAATTGATTTAAATTGGATGAATAAAAAAATTAAATTTTTGATTTTAATTGTTTTTAATCTTATAACATTTATTATACATTGGTAATTGGTCTCATAATAAAATGTCTGGCAATATTAGAAAGCTCTACTTCTACTTTTTTTGGGGGGGAAATACATCAGATTTTAGCGCATTTAAAATTAAAAATTTAAAAATTAAAGATATAACAAAATTTTCATATACATTACAGTTTCTAAAAAAAAATTATTTAGTTTTAATATTTTATAGAATTTTAGGTATACGCATTAAAAGGCTGCGTCACGACGTGACAAAACCAATTTATTCTGATTTTTATAAGATTGGTATAACAATAACGTTTAACAAAACAGTTTATTTACAATAATTTCAAAAAAGTCTTGACAAATTCAACTACGTTTTTTTATTGAATTTTATCTAGTTAACTAAGTATGATGTACTTGAATAAGGTTTCATTTCCATTTTTATCATTAAACTGTTTTAAGAAATTGGCACTAAACATCCCAGGCGTTTTACAAGCATTATTAATGATGTTTCCAAGTTCTGTGCTATCAAAAGCAGTTTTAGTTTTTTTAGCAGCAACCATGAAAACGTTTACTTGACTTTCATCTTTGACGGCTTTATAAAATGCTGTTGCGTCATTAATCAGAACTTCTCTTCGAACATTTTTTTTGCTAATTTTTTTATGGTTGCTTCTATACCATTACATGGTCCTTTACCATGAGAGGTTGCAAAGTAATTTCAGCAAATTTTAATTTTGTACTTGCTTTCAAGCCATAAATTGAAGCTTCTATGTAACAATTTTTAAATTGACTGCTAGGACCATCAGATCAAACTTGCAAGTATTTTACATCCTTTCTAATAAGGTTAGTTATTAACAAGTCAATAAAATAAATTACTGAACTTTTTGAATGGTTCAAATCATCAGAAATAACAAGGGCAGATTTACATGAGTCACCATGCCAGCTAACAGCAGTAAATAATGTTACTAATATTTTGTTCCAATGTGCTGACTGAATTTCATCCTGCCAGAAAGTTGAGAAGTTTTCTGCAAAGTCAACTTGTAACAAAACTGAATCAAGACTGCTCTTTAAAACTTTTTTTTGGTTTTCATAACTCATTGATTGTTTTCCTTTTCTAAAATAATGCAAAAAAAAATTAAGTAGCATTTTGCAAACATTGTTATACAAAATTATGGCTTTGTTTTTTTTTATTACTTTTTCGAGGTACTTAAGTTGCGTAACTTTCTCCCAAAGGTACCAGGTATTTTCTTTATCGTGGTTTTTTTCATCTAATTGTTATGTTTTGAGAAATAACTTTCCGTCCTTACAAGCTTAACAAAGATTATTAACAATTATCATTTCTCTCGTCACACATTAAAGTATTTGGTAAAGCATGCGAATAAAGGGGCATTTTTAAATCAATGAAATGTAATGCTTTGAGTGACAAGATAATGTTTTCATGTTTTTGACATGAACAAACATTTCTAGGCATTAAACTTGATAAAAGTATATGGCCTGGTCTCAAATTAGCAAATTTGGATTTACTGATTAAAAAATCAGTGTGTTCGTTTTTAAATATTTGATATGCTTCACTTATATTCATTGTTAAATACTTTTTTTGCATTTTCTTTTTTTCTTTATTATTTATTAAAATAATCGTATCTCTTACTCCAGGTGCCTGACGGGGTATACTATCTTGTTAAAAAAAACTAATAACGCATAGCTTCGTTTCATCATTAAGAGCATTAGGTCCATCTGTTGGTTGCATATCTGGTAAATCTTTTTTAAACTAAATTGCAGGTTGTTTAATAACAGTTGATTTTTAAAGAGAAAAAGTTAGAAGAGCACGTATTACTTTTTTCACAGCTTTACCAAATGTACAAGATGATTTGTAAGAAGGAGTGATGTTAGATGTTATTTTAGATGAAGAAACTCTACTCTTTTTTTTTTCTTTACTTGTCCTTTAAAGGTACTAATTAAACATTAGAATTTCGTTTTTTCTTTTTCCGTATCGAGTCCTTTTCCTTTATAAAATGCAGACTAAATTTTTGCATTTGTTTTTCTCTATACTTTCTCTGGCGTTCAGCATTAATCAAATCAAACATTTAAAATGTCAATACAGTAAATACAGTTGAAAAAAAAATAACTTTAAGATCCTACACAAAAATAATTTAATTATTGCCTTTATTTTTACATTGATAATTTAGATTGGGTACTACTGGAGTTTCTCAACCACCACCCTCCTCGCCTACTTTTTTTATTGTTAATTATGATCGAAAATTTTATGCTGATTAAGAACTGTATATAAACATAGGTCTAAAAATTAACAGAAAGTGCTCTAATTTGATGTTGAAGTTTTAAAAATTACACTAAAAACCGCCTTTTTTTACATCAAAGTTTTTATTTTGAAATCGATCGTTAAGAAAATCTTTTTTTAATTACGCGACCCGGTTTTTATTGTCATCAAAATTAATTTATAATTGAATTAAATGTTTTCATAAATGTGTTTAAGGACTGAAGTTCCCGAAAAACGGTTCTTCGGTTCTTCGGTTCTTCGGTATTTTTCGGGGAATCGAAAGGAATCGAAGGTTTCGGTTCCTTATCAGAATAGGAATCGA